ATATTTGACAGAAGACCTAAACACTGGTCCAGAAACTTACATTCTCTCACGTGTTCCTTTAATATTCATATTTCTCCAAGGTAAGTTTTAACTTTGTACCTACACACCAGCTTTGTTTTCAAGTTACATTTAGTTCCATATTATTTCTGGGTAGAAGTGGGGCAAAGGGTAGTCCCAGTATGAACAAAGAGCAGAGAATACGAATAAGGAGTAGAGAGGAGCTTCCTAAGAAAGTACTCCCTTGCCTGGACTGCACAGGTCCATTGTGGGGACTTGCCCTTTGTACCAGATGATGTTACAAAGCTGGAGTCATATCATTTATATGCAGCAGAAGGAGATGCATTTAGGTCTGGCTACTGCACAGATTCACTCACACTGACTCTGAGAGCTACCTGCCATCAGCTGTATCTGGCCTATATGGCCACCTGAACCAGAGGCAAACGATAACTAGCGATACTTCAGGGCTGAAAAGTAGCACAAGAGCAGGAAATGGGAACTAAGGTTAGAGTCTCTCAGCCCACCCAGTAACTTGTGCCATGACTGGAGCCATTCTGCTTTATTGCATATGCAACCTCATCTACACACTGCTGTGCTGCACTGTGTGGAGTGCCACTTCCAAGTCAGAAAGAATTCAAATGTCCTCAATTAATCCAGTCAACAATCTTTCTTTTCCTCATTAAATCCCCACGGCATGTTCTTATAGTGTATTTTTCATGCAATTTGTAAAACTCCGGCTAGAACAAAACAGCTTTTGTCTTTCTGGCTCCCATAACTGAAAGCTGAATCTAACTCCTTTAATTCACTAGGCAACTGCAAATTGCTGAAATAGGTCTTTCGACTACATCCAGTATTTGTGGGCTGGCATTTCTGAAACATTAGTAAAGTCACCAAAACAAACAGCTACAACTCAGAACATACCCAGAAGCATATGTAAAAGATGTTTTTTCCGAATTTGTGTGTGGTGGCAGCTACATGTATACTGTTCTGTAATAAAAGGTAGGTGTTCTATTTGCATACCTGTCTGTAATTTAAGGCATCTAAAAATACAGAATCTTCAGCAAAGACAACAGATTTACATGGCATATGGATTCCTAGAGCAAGCGACGAAGTAGCTGTGACTACCTGTAAGATATCACACATGAGTAATTCTATTAGAAATGGCAATATCCATTTAAATATAAAACAAAACTACCTGTGATATCCAATTTATATCAACAGGAATTCTACTATTATTTTTTACATAGCTAAACATTAATCTGATGAATTTAACACAGTGATGAACATACATGAATTTGACTCTTTAGTACAGTTCATATAGCTATTCTGTATGCATATCAAACTTTCGTATCCTGAAAGTTTATACCACATCTTTCATGGAAGACAAATTGAAATATTGAAACTGAGCAGAAATTAAAACATTTCAGGAAGATGGTACAAAATATTACAGTCCTATAGAGTTCATTTAACACATTCAGTTGGCTTCTGCAGTAAAAGATAGTAAAAAATGTTTCTGTAACTACATTAACAACAAAAGGAGGGCTAAGGAGAATCTCCATCCTTTACTGGATACAGGAGGAAAACACAGTGACAGAGGAAAAGGCTGAGACACTTAATGCCTTCTTCACCTCAGCCTTTAATAGTAAGACCAGTTGTTCTCTGGGTATCCAACCCCCTGAGCTAGAAGACAGGGAGGGCGAGCAGAACAAAGCCCCTATAATCTGCAGGGAAGTGGTCAGCAACCTGTTACACCACTTGGACACACTTGTCTATGGGGCCAGATGGGATCCACCCATGGGTACTGAGGGAGCTGATGGAAGTGCTCTCTGAGCCATCTGCCATCACCTCTCAGCAGTCCTGGCCATCTGGGCTGGGCCCAAAGAGTGGTGGTAAATGAAGTTAAATTCAGTCAGTGACCAGTCACAAGTGGTGTTCCTCAGAGCTCAGTACTGGGGCCAGTTTTCTTTGATACCTTTATCAATGATCTGGATGAGGGGATCAAATGCACCCTAGCTGAATTTGCAGATGACACAGAGTTGGGTGGGAGTGTTGATCTGCTGGAGGGTAGGAAGGCCCTGCAGAGGGATACGGACAGGCTGGATCAATGGGCTGAGGCCAGTTTTATGAGGTTCAACAACGCTACGTGCCAGGTCCTGCACTTGGGCCACAACAAGCCCATGGAATGCTACAGGCTGGGGAAGAGTGTCTGGGAAAATGGCTCGGTGACAAAAGAGTGGGTGGAAAGCTGCTTGTCGGAAAAGGACCTGGGGGTGCTGATTGGTGGCCAGCTGAACAATGAACCAACTTGTGCCCAGCTAGCCAAGGAGGACAACAGCATCCTGGCCTGTATCAGCAATAGTGTGGCCATCACTTGTTGACAAAAGTCAACACTTTTCAAATCAGCATGACAAGGTAAATGCAATATATTTTACCACTAGTGAAAGCTAAACTGTATTTTTTTCATTAAGTGCACGGAGAAACTAACATGCTAAAAGAACTGTTCCCAATTTACCAACCTTGATATAGCCCATCCTGAAAAGCATCTCCACTACCTGTCTTTCCTTGCTGGTCATAGATGCGTGATGATACCCAATGCCCCTCAGTGCCAACCTTTGCTGCAGATAACCTCTTCTCTCAAACCTAATTCGATGAAAAATCTTCTTCAAAGTCTACAAAATAAAAAGAAAAGTTTTAACCACAACCAAGTGTTGATGAAAAAGTCTTCTCTGATAAAGTTCTGAGCACTGGAGAAATACAGCTATCGCAGAACAAATTCCTAAGTAGCTTCGTGAATCTGATCCTCTTTTGCTTATTTGTCATCCCTGCTCAGTATCAACATCTCACCTCTCAATGCAGTCAGAAGCTTCCCTTTCCCAGACTCAGAAATAGTGCTGAATTATGCTTTTCCAGGATTTTCTGAACTTCACTGTACAGCTAAGTGTCATCTGTTCCAAAGTCCAAGCTACTTTACCCATGTGCAACTGTGGGAAGCAGTGTTCCTTCCATGCTGGCTAACAGTGGTTCAAAAGTGCCACTGAAAACCCAAGTTCCCAGCATAAGGAATCACAAGAATTTTCAAGTTCAGTTCCAATACACAGAAATTTCCTGTCTTTCAAGACATGCCACAATGAGCCAAAAGCATTATCAAGACCCTTCATCAGAATTTTGAGCACTTTCTCTCTGAATTAAGAGCTATATATCACAATTAGTTTCTTTATTAAAAAACCCCTAGTCATGAAGAGACAGCTATATGAACCACAGTCATGTTTCAGGAAGTTTAGACCTGAGAGGGATCTCCTGGATCAAGGCCCAGTCACCCACTGCTGCTGGAAACCACATCATACAAATCTCTTTCACAAATTGTTCCTTTATTATTTGTATACAAATATACACGTTAATATTTCAGATGGACATCTGCAGAGTTCCAGAGCTTTTCTCATCTTTTCTTTCCTCAGGGGCCATAAACACATTGAAAAGCACAGAAGATTTTGCTTTGTGGGGACTAGAACTTTAAGAACCTAAAATAATTTATTAATTAGTATTTCTATGAGATATGAAGGGCTTAAAAATGTTTCTAAAATTAAACAAAGGTGCCATATGGCCTCTCCTGATGGCTCAGTCAGAAAAATACGAGTCTGAGATCTGAATCAACACGTAACAGAACTGCATTGCTAATAGTTCATGTAAATCAATTCATTACAGTGTCCATGCCAGGACTCCCAGCACAAGGACAAGTCAACCTCTTTTCATGTGGCAGAATGAAATTTATCCATACATCTTAAAAATAAAGTTATCTAAGGACTGATACCTTGAATAAAATGGAAATGGAAACATTCAGAATGAACTCAATACACACTGTTAGGAAGTACAACTGCATCATACATGAATCCTATGTATTTGTGCACAAATTCATGCATTTCAGACATACAAAACCATAACCATATTATGACCATCAGTGAATTACTTACATCTTCATCCACTGCTTTAGGATCAGCATAAGTACACGAGGAAGGGATATCAGTTAGCCCTTTAAGTCTTTTTTCCAACTGGGTTTTTTTAGTCAAAAGCACCACAGCGGTTTCCCTTTTACTGGGGCTCACCTTTTTGGTATCCCTGTATAAAATATACAATTACAAATATTTTTTTCCTGTAATTCACATACATTTCTCAATTTTAAAATACTCTCTGGTACTGACTCATTCCTTTTTAAACTGTAGCCTCAAATAGTTTGCTGATTTCATTAAATTAAATCAGTTAATTTACTTATAATGGTAACAGCTTCTTTTTATCATGGCTTCTATGCAAAATAGCAAGTAATTCTGGGTGACGTAGAGTGGAGAAGTTACAGTGATACACAAAAATGAAGGAAGATGAAGACAGCAACGCTAAGCATCTCAGCAGATTAAGCTAACAAAATTGCATACTAGAAGAATTAAACATGAAAAAGAAATGCAATGGATTTACTGCCAATGATGACATGGATTGTAAGGATTTAGCACAGCACTTGAAGAAGAGAGGGGAGGGAAAACTATTTAGAGGCAGATTTTCAAGCAACTTCAATGTTTAAATATGCGTCTAAATTCCTACTGGATTTTCAAGTTTTATTAAAGTCAGCTAAGTTCATTCTTTCATGATATTATGTCCAAAGAATATACCGTAAATTGTTACGATTAGGACAAAATCATGATGCTTTCTGTTCCTAACAGTCTATTAGCCATATTTCATTGCCAAATGGCTTACAGAAATCGATACTCTGTGATCACAAAAATCAAGAAAATTCAACATTAAGGGTGAAACAAATATGGTACAGTCCAAGCAAAAAGCTGACAAATACTTGAAGAACATCTCACCAGTCAGATGAAGCCATACTTAAGAGATCCACCACCTCAACCAGCCATGGCGAGGCTGAACTATGAAAATATTCTCCTACAGTGGCTGACCCAGCACCAGGTTAAGAGCTCCATGACAAAAGAGAAAGGGCCGTTCTGGTATCTTCATATCTCGGTAGCAAATATCTCATATACTCAGGTCTCTCTCTTTGGTTCTTATGCTGAAGTGCCAGCACCTAACACAATGTCAGTAACAGTGGTATCTTCCTGGTGCCTAACAATACACTAGGTACTGCTGATCGAAACCTGCCACACAGCAACTCCTACTGTGTGGGTTGCTAGAGCAGAAAGAACAGGGACTGCTACACTGCAAGCTAGATGAATGTGCTGCTGAGAGGTACATTCCCCAGAAACAAGTTATCGCAAAATGACCCTCTATCATAATATGTAAGGTTTTTAATAATACATAGTTACAATACTTACTCAGGGTTGAATTTTCCCACCATTTTTTCCACTTTTCTTAGTTCGGCCCTTAATCGGTTTCTTTCCTTCTCAACATTAGAGCCTTGTGCACACCTTTGTTTTCTCAGCAAATAAAGGAATGCGTTCTTGGCTGCACTTTCCACTGTATCCACATTAAATCTTAAAAGCAAGTAATAAACACCAGCTAGATGAACTCTAATACAGCTTTTATTTATATGCAATATTGTTGTAACAGCATGCAGTGACCCTTATCATCCGACAATAGTTAAGGATATGCTTCTAATGATTAGATTCTATTCCACGTCCAAATCATAGGCTGCGTTCACTTTCAAACTGCTGTTATTCCAAAACTGAGTGGTAAAATGTAAAATGGTTCTGCCAATAAATTATTTATAGAAAGTATGCTTAACTCTACCTTTCCCTAAACAGGACACTTGGACATACAGATTAAACAAACTGCAGCTTAAGGAATTTTAATTTTTCTCAATTACCCAGCTGAGAATGAGTCTCAGCCTGTCCTGGTCTTCTACACAGCTTTTTCACGATTGGACTGTTCAGAGTTTATCTGGGATGAAGACTTCTCCAGCTTCACCCTCAAAAAGTATTTTTCTATTCTTATTGCAGCAGCAGGTCCTGTTAACTAACATCATACAAGGTGTTGGCAACATATGGTGTACTAGTCCATTACAATATTCACAAGTCATTCAAATCTGGCAGTCACCAAGAGCAGGAACAAAAATTGAAGGACTTTATCCTTTCATCCAGAAAGACCAAATACAGATTTTAAGGCTAGGAGGTAATCTCTCTTTACTTCAATTTTTCTCATCTTCACAGATGCCAGAACTCAGGAACAGTCATTTGCCATAAACTCTTCCCCCCCCCCCCCCTGTATGTTCTAATTAATTTCTACTGTTGAGTTTATTCAGGCATAAAGAATACTAAAGTGCTGCCAACCTGCTCTTTTCCTTGGTGGCTCTAAGAAAAGATAAGCAAACCCTTAACTACTGTTTTTTCCTTACCATCAATAGCTGTGATCGCAGTTTGGCTTCTACAGCTCTGATACCGGCTCTCTCAGGAGTCTCCACTAATTCCATGTTAACATATCACCATATAGGATAACTGCTTTGCAAGATCATTCATCAGCAACAGCTTAGGGAGAAAAAGCTTACCAGCACCAATGAATCTCCCAGTCACCGTCTGCTACGTGTGACAGCTACTTATCACCTTTATCACAATTACTTAGGACTGGGACATTTAACTAGAGAGATTTTTTTGGTTGGGGTTTTTTTACTTCTCTTTACTTACTCTTTACTTCTGTCTAATTCTTGTCCTTGCCTAACTACAAAGACACTGGGTGGTCTGTCAAGTGCTGTTACACTACACCTGTGCCTTAAAAGACCTTTAGAGAACAGATTCCGTACCTTACCCTCCAGTTTGATACCACTAGGTTCTGCCAGCGTATTCACTGGTCTAGGATGTGTTCTTGCCTCACCATGATCATTTATCAACTGTCTAGGATATTTTTACTCTGCTCGCAATCTCTTGTCACCAAGAATTTCTAAGGACCCATCATGCCAGGGTAAATGAGAGGAAGGCACTTGTCCATTTCCCCTATGGAGAAGCATCTTGGCACTTCCTATTGAGTGCCCCAAAATGATGCTGCAGTTCATACAGCAGCCTTGAAATTATTCCTTATTAAAGGAATTGCAAATACCTAAGAGTCCTTTTGAGAACTGTCAGTTTCAACTTGAAATTAGCCATAACATTAATTTACAACTAGGCTGTCACTGAGAAATAGATAAGAAATATTTTACCAGGAACTAGAGTAATTTGAGATGGGCCATTAATATGCGTATTCACTTTTTGCTTTTTTCTTTCTAGAGTTCTTTCAGAAATGCCTTTTTACCAGCATCAAGCATATGAGAATTAGAATGGCAGTGAGCATTCTACCCTGAGTGTCCAATGTAAGGAAGGGCACAGCTTCATACCAAAATAAGAAAGCTTTCCATTTGTACATGATTGTTTCTCTGCATTATTACAGTGAAAATATGTGCTAGAGAACTGTTTACTGATAAGCAGCTTTGTTTCATTAAGTCTGGAATTGAGGTATGTGCCTACTTTGCTAATACTAGCAATATCACTGACAATAACAGTATTGTCACTAGGCTCAGAGCTGTGCATGTTTGATGTTACAGTTACGCCTCACATACAAGGAAAGAAGGCTGACTGATGCATGTCACTGGGTGTAAAGTGAGATTGGTAGAGGCTATGCAATGGAACCATCACCATGTAACAAACACACGCATTAACAGAACCTCATTCCACCCTCTTCTCTACCAAGCCTGCCCCTAGATACTCCTTTGCACCTCCAAGTAAACAGCATATGTTTTCCAAAAGTTTTACTGGGTCAAAGCAACCAAGAATCTGATTCTCATTTCAGTGTGATTCAGGTTCTTATAATTTTCTCAGACATCTGTGCATGGATTCTACCCTTTCCACACAGCAATTAAATGCTCTCAGCTTTAACTTCAGCAAAACCTTTAGTGCCATAAATATACATGGGTTGATAGAGCTTGTAGGCCTTTATTTTGTAAGTTTTAAAGCAAAGGCAACGAATACCATATAAATGGCATATGCCAAGCTATATCAATGTTTATCTCCAATACCCATTTTTCTGAATATAGGCAATACACATATAATACATGAAATGTAAATACTTACATAAAAAATATAGCAGGCAACTTCTCCATCTCATGTAACTTACTAACAAAGCTTGCAAAATGACTCCACTTTTTGTCTTCTGAGCAATCCAGAGGTTTTGGCTTAAGGTGCTCCAGCAGCTCATTCACCTGACCAAAGTAGTATTGTGGAGATTTTAGTGGCAGAAACTTCTGACTGTGGGCTAAAAACCACAAAGACTCCATCTTCCTGTGTCAGCTTCTATCAGCTCAATTTTTTTCAGTCATTCAGAACTGGAATAGCCACATAGAGTTTACAGACTATGAAGTCTGCAAGCTATCAACTGACTTTGGTGAGAACTCTGAATGCAAAATGTTGTAGCATTCATGGCTACCATCACAGTGTAAATCATAAAGTATCACTAACATAGTGATTGTGGTCTATTTTCACATTTAAGTGTCATATTCCATGATTTTTTTTATGTCTTTCCCAGATACTCTTTATTTTCTTCTTCTTGTTGATTCGCCATGTCCTCATATTCTTTTTTTATGATAAAGGAAGAGGTGACCTCCAATCAAGGACAAGTTTTTACTCACTGGCTTAATTTTCATCTTTTACATGGAAACATACATACTGCCTGCGTTTACACTGAAGGCTTCAAATGAGCAGCAAAAAA